AATACGATAAACGATGTTTTAGTTTCTACGTTATACAAATCGACAAAGATTAGCTAAGCAACTGCCAGAAAGGAAACATGATTTATTGATTTTCACATTTTATCGTTTTCAAATATCTTATTCAAGAAATTATTTTACATAATTAAAACTAGATGAAGTTCGAATTAATTATCACTTAGATTCTAGTAACATTAGAAATTATTAAAAAAGCTATTAAAAATATCTTATGTGGACACCATATGACTTCCATGCACGGCCTATAAAATCATAAACATATTTTTTGCAGCATTTAATTTATTTCCTCGAATTTTTCATAACAGATATATTTCACATTCAACCAATCCAGTTCTCACTTCGCGGCAAGACAAAAATACATAACAACTCAAAACATTTTCATTAAAAATTGTAAATTGCAGAAAAACATAAAATACAGTTTAAAAAAAATTGTTAAGATTAAAATTAGTTTTCACGCAAACACAAGCAATTCGATCAGCGGGCAGGAAGACAGGTTTTTCGGTGCACAAATCTGAAAGTTTACTTTTCGTCCCCCTCCGCAAAAGGACATTGAAGTTGTTTCAGAAACTAAATAAAGTATTGTACTAAAGTTGGTTTGGTTTATGCGATTATGGTAAAGCCTCAAGGGCTATCTACCTAAGGGAAGGGATGCCTTCCTGGAGGGCTTTCTAAGGGCAACTGGTATATAAGAATAAAAAAAGTAAGCTCACCAAGCCCGGTGAGAGTGTGAGTTTCCGAGTAGCTTATTAAAATACTTTTACTATAATAGAAATTTAAATTACTTGTACTTAAAATACTGACTCAAATTTATTCCAATAATTCATCGCATTAATTAATTTTCCTTGAGGGAAAAAAACTTTTCTAACAATAATAATAAATAATATATACTTTTGGTGCGCCCGATTTCAACCAAAAAAGGGAGGTGCACAACTACATGCTATAGCTTTCCCATGTACAAATTTCAGCCCATGTTCTGAGGTTACTCGTTTTTGAGTTATGGCAGGAACATATATGCATACATACAGACGTCATGAAAAAAGGTCTTCTGAATCCATTTTATTGGGTCAGTCCATAAATTCGAGCGCATTTTTTGGTAAATCTTTAAATAATGTAAAAAAAACACAATTTAACATTTTAATCAATTATATATTTTCCTCCATTATCTACAATGTCTCGCAATCTTACAGGCAGCTTTTTTATGCCATTGCTGTAAGAAAGACTCTGGTTTTGATGGAAAAAAAAATTGAAAGTTCATTGTGTACATTCCTGTTTCAGAATTTAATTTTTTCCCCCAGTAAAAGCATTTTGTAAGGCACGAAATAAGTGAAAATCACTTGGGGCAATATCTAGGAGAGTAAACAGGATGTGGCAAAAGCTCCCAAATTAAAATTCACTCATTTTTTGCAGCGTTGTTCGAAGCCTTATGCGGTGTAGCGTTGTAATGATGATACAACACTTTCTTGATATTCACCTAATCGTGGGACTTTTTTTGATTCAAATTCTGAGTTTAGACGGCAAGGTTGTTCACTATAAACTTGTGAATTAATCATTTTGATTTCGTTCCTAACAGTTCAGAAGCATCCTGAAACGGGGTTTCATCATAAATGCTGCTTTTAAATTTTTTAAACCATTTCTGGGCAGTCCTTACACTAATAGTGTGTTCACCGTGTACACTATTAATTTTTATCGCTGCAAACCTGGCAGATTCTCCCCACAAAAATATAAAAGGTAACACAGCACGTTTGTACTGATTATCTATATTCATCTTCTTTGGGTACTAAAATGCGTTCGATATTTACGAAAGTTGGTGATGAACTGAATAATATGTTAGTCAAACGATGACAAGTTTCCAATAGGTTCAAAATTGAATTGTTTTTAGTAAATGCGTCATAGTGAATTCCACGCACACTCTCAATGCGCACGAACTCATGGACTAGCCCGATATAATCCGTTTTGGGAAAAAGAATCCTTTATTTTGTCCATACATATAGGTGTCATGAAAAACATCGGTCATATGGATTCAGGAGCGCTCAAATTAGGTATTTTCTCTGAAATATGATACCCGAAATTTTTCACGATTACAATACTTCCTTTATTTTGTACAAAAAAGCAAAAAAGATTCTTACTATATTAATTCTGAAGTAAATTCTACTGCTTTAATTTCATTTTTTAATTATATTTATTTCGCAAATTATTTCCTAAAAAGAGAGCACAAGTGAAAAATTATTTCAAAACTGTCATGAAAAGGTTTTAGACTGCCCCAGGAAGAAAGCAAGGAAAAAGAAAACTTTAAAAATTTGATAAGTTGAATATTAATTATATTTTTTCCGTAAGCTAGACTTTACTTACATTCTGTGCCATGCTGATTTTGTTAGTAATATTAATTATCCATTTATTGCATCCAAATTATGGGGAAGTATTCAGCTTACACCATTGTTATCGCTCACATGAAAGACAAAGTATGAAGAAGTATCATTCGAGCTTTAGCGTTCGCAGCAAGATAACCTGAGCATGCTCCATCAACGCACAATGACGAGAATTCCATTGTGAAAGAAACGCAAAGGTGCCTACATAAAAAGCTTTCAAAAGCAGTAAAAAGACGCAAGCTCTGACGCTTTGGTGTCGATTGTTTTCTTAGACACGAATCGCGTGGTTAATAAAATCTGAATTCCTTTGCTCGATAAAAAAAACTTGATGACACAATCAAAAACTTAATCAATTTTTTTCCAAACATGAGAAGCGGTTCGTTTCAAATTTCACATCCAGTTAAAATACAAAAAAAAAAAGCCGATCGCTACATAATGAATAATAAAAACTTAAATTTTTAATCTTTTCATGAAAAAAATTCGATTTATAGATTAGAACCAGGGTCACAGGCGTACCGACGGATTTTAACACCTTGTAGAGGGTGGTAAGGTTTTTTTTTTTTTTTTTTTTTTTTTTTTTTTTTTTTTTTTAAGCATGATAGATGAAAAATGAGCTACGCCCTAGCCGGGAATCGAACCACGGACCTCTGGAATACGCGCCCAGAGTGCAAACCACTACACCACGAAGGCATGCCAACAAGGCGGGAGAGGAGGGATGATATTTTTCTGTCATTTACTTAAAGCAAACGCAAAATTAAAATCTAATGAATAATACATGATTCACTATATTTTAATTTTGCGTCTGTTTTTTACTTACTTAAACGAAGCGTCTCATTCACCCCACTCTCGGGACGACTCTTGTTAGGGTGACAACAATGTAACAATGGGAAGATGAATTCAGAGGAATAATAATGCTTTTTTTACAATTTTTATGATGTTACATTCCCATAGGCTTTATGTTCTGCTACAAAGACAGGAAAAAGGTGTGTTACATATTTGCAGTCTACTACAGAATTTATATCCAATTCCTTCTACATCCCGTACCCCAAAATATCCATTGAAATATTTTCGATCAAATTGGGGTGCAGCTTAGCCAGACAGATGGATAGACAGACTAATCAAATCCTTCCCTTCTCCCTCCCAAAAAAAAAAAACCCCAAGAAACTTAATATACGCAAGACTTGCATAATATGATTAAGTAATTTCTTTGGATTATGGATGAAAAATAGAAAAATATCTGCAGGTTTCTACCTCTGCAAAACGTCGTCAATGATGATATCAACCACAGTGTACTAATCAATCATTACCATTGGTCACCTTTCGTTTCTAAGATCGGTTTCAACAATTTATTCTGAAATTGCTTTTTAATGCAACGAATTAATGCCTCAGATATTAATGTCAACTAGACAGCATTTTAAAACCATTGACAAATATAAAATAATTATCGTTATTAACTGGGATCTCTAACTTTAGAGTTTGGTTCGTCAAGAATTCTGAAAATGTTTATATGGATTCAACTGATACATCCTATCCCCCCCAATCCACTCACCTGAGGGAAAAGAAAAATCTCTAAATCCATGCTTCTGGTGCCATACAAAAAGCAATCGCGGAAACATGGCAGCCACAAAGTGTGCATGAGAAGTAAACATGAACTTGACGATAATTCTGTAGTTAACTTGGAGTTAAAAAAAAAACGGAGGGTTCTAATAAGAAGGTACCGACATTTTTATTTAAACAATGATTTAATTCAAAATGAAAACAGACATACTGCAACTTTACATTACTGGTTATTTATTAAGTACCTATGAACAACCAAATATAAATAGCTACCAAAGCATCATCAAAATATAAATTGATATTTCAAAATAAAATAATTCGAATTGTATATAAAGAAAAGCAGGACGGATAATGGCAACTTGAAAGGACCGTCCAGTAAAGGGTCGTTCCCACTGGGGTTTATCTGAGTTAACGAACAGAACTGACGTAGCCGACAAATCTCCCAAACCAGTGTTGTCCCAAGTTGAAAAATCTGAACAGCAAGCAGAGCGAAGCTAGTCGACACATGGAACTGACTCCGTTAGCTCAGATAAATCCTAGTGGGAACGGACCTTAAGAAAAATGTGAAAACGCCACTGTAGTGTGCACATGGATTCCTTGCCCAGCTGGTGCCCGAGGTGAGGCGCAGTATTCCCTGTGATGGATGTTTTGCCAAAACTGTAGTGCGACAGAGCAAAGCCTGTAAATCCAAAGGCAAAGTTCTGGTACTCTATCCCTGCTTTCTTATTTAATGGTTCCTAATGGTTTATCACCATTATTCCGATATATTTCATTAAATGATTGCGTACTTGCGAATTCGTCAGTACTGTAATTTCACAATCACGCCGGTAGATAAAAAAAATGTACCACTTTTTGTTTCTAAAATGGTATAAAAAGTATCGACACTTCCAGAAATTAAACTGAAAGCAGCCTGCATTTCTGAAACAAGCTAACCCAATTACAATTTCCAAAGACCTGCATTCATTACTTCAGTAAAGTTTGGTTTCCATCAAATTTTATAAAATAACAAAGTTGCAGTGCAAGATTCAAATATTACAGTCATTTTGTTTTCTTAACTTTCAGGTATATAACCATAATAGCAGAGCATGAAGAACAACTAAATGATCAAGGATTCATTGCAAGGCATTTCATCCGAAGGTATCTCCTGCCTTCAGACATTCAAACAGATGCAATCAGTTCCAGTTTAAGTCAGGATGGAATTCTAACCATAACTGCCCCGGCTGAACAGGTTGCTGTAAAATATGCTCCTGATGACGAGAAACCAAGTTTATCCGAGAAAAAGCCGGAAACTCATTATATATAATCAATTACCACCTTATCTACTGCTATTTTACATAACATAATTAATGTCCACTTGATATTTTTTAATGAAGCATCATATTATCTCAACTCGGTAATTACCATCTTGTTAACAAACAAAAAAAAAAAAAAAAAAAAAAAAACTGTTTTTTAAGAAGCTGCATAAATTTGTACCGTACTAATCCTGGATTCGTAAAAAAATAAATAAATAAATAAAAATAAAATGTGGAAGTAAATTTAATAAAAACATTATCACATTCAGAAACCAAAATCACATTAATAGTTTCTCTAAAGCAAAATACAGTAAATTTTCTCAAGGTGACCACTTCCAGCTGTGAACGTGATTAGTATTATGAAAAGCATAACCAAACATCAATATTCAACATCATCTCTCTGACACGACCACCTCCAGTGGACATGAAAATTTTATGCAAAATAATTTTAATTCATTTGCATGTCATATACGTTGGCCGTTATTACGAACAATGCCACTACACCACTTTCATTCGTAACGCTCAAGACAAAAACGGGTAGGATACTAGCAAACAATTTCAAATGAAAATTATTCGAAGGTGACTGCCGCTTTCGGTAGATTAGTGGCATGCATGCGAACGGAAAAGATCCTAGGTTTAAATGAAACAAAAAGTCCTCGTTAATGGTGCTAAATCAAAGGTAGACAAACCCTCCGCCGGTAATTATTTGTTTTGTTTTATCTGATTATGGCAAAGCACTCGAGGGCTATCAGTCTAGGGGAGGGATGCCTTCGCGAAGGACCTCCTAAGGCAAACTGGCTAGTATACAAGTTACACATGGCGTAAACCACGAAAAAGGCCATGCTCCCAGCCTGTTCGAAGCGATTCAAACTCCGGCAGAACTACCAGTGTTCAGCAACTTTACCACTTGGCCGCTCGTAGGCCCCTGACGTTAATGAACGGAGATGGTTGCTGACTTCTGCAGCTCAACAATAATATCGAAATAATAACGAAAATTATTCGAAGGTGACTGCCGCTTTCGGTAGATTAGTGGCATGCATGCGAACGGAAAAGATCCTAGGTTTAAATCAAACAAAAAGTCCACGTTCATGGTGCTAAATCAAAGGTAGACAAACCCTCCGCCGACCAGTATTTCATTAGCAAATATTTATTAAAGGATGCTCTTACTTCTAGTCCCCGCCGAAACAAAAATTTGATTATATATACGAGTTTTTATTCTTACTTAATTAAAGGTACCACAAATATACTAATTTTATCATTAGACATTCAGTTCAAGTTAAAGGCCTATTTGTGCTTCACTTCTGTTTGCTCTTTGAAGAACGCGTGAATTTTGGCAAAAAATATATCATCAATTACATAAAACCACTTTTCCATGATGTGAAAACTCATCTTAAAAGATAAATGCGACTAACGTAAGAGCAATTAAAAATCAGGTTTTAATCTCACTTTTAGTTTTTACATCGCTTTAACGCTGTCAAAGAGGGGGGATCTCATTATGACTTTCCATTCACTTCTTTCCCTTTCAGTTGATGACATAAATAAAAAATTTTCGCAGGAGAAAAAAAAAAAAAAAAAAAAATACAGAATAAAAGCATGTCGGTTAAACTAAAGTTTCTGAATCAAAAATGAAACAATAGAGGTTCATGTTATTCATCAACAGTGATATTACATAACCGCATTCCTCACTTAATTAAGAAAAACTTGTAATATATCACAATAACGGTGATTTGCCAATGACCTATGACAAAGAAGCCTTCAATAGTGCCAACAAACCCATGAAAAGCCTTCAAACTAATAGCTCCCTTTTTTGGAGGAGGGGGAAGGAGAAGAATGAAGAAGCAATAATGCTTAAATTTTGCCTCGGTAAATAAAAATGATAGTTAATATAGTACACTAACACAGCAGAAAGTTCTGCTATTAAAATATTACCATAGACTCAACATTTATTACCAGACTCTTAGTATTGAATTGGTCCCTTAGTCTCTTGGTCTATGATCTTGGTTTATTACCGTAGACTCTTGGTAACAAGTTCGGTACTTTGTGAGGAACGAAAGAAAAACAATTAGAGTGAAACAAATGTAGTACATATGCTATCTGATCTCCAGTTAGGAGATCCGATTTGAACAATTATGAATTAATACTGGCAGTGAATACTAATGAAATCACAAGTCTCATTGATAGGTACAAATAATCGGACTTTTGAACATGTATTAATAATAGACATTAATGGCCTGTACAGACTAAAAAAATAAGAGTTCAGTTTGCAAAACAGAAGTTCCGAAGGTTTGCGCATAGCCATGAAAATAATCGCATCAATCGACGCAGGCAACCACTGATGCATCCGCTATCTGAGAAACTATCACATTTTCCGACTTGGAAAAGAAATCGAAACTGTGTGTAGGAGCCAATTACGTTTTCCTTTCAGCCGTTTGATTTCTAAAGTGAAAGAAACGAAAATAGGAATTTTATCGGGATGCTTGATTCGTTAAACACAACTTTCGAGAACAGCGTGAAGTCAGAACACCGACCAAGCGAAGAAAGAGCACTTGATGAAGTTACCCTGCTCTCGTGAGACTCATACCAAAACGAACAAACACATTATATGATCGATTGATATCTGCATTACACAATAACAGGTTTTAAACCTCTAAGACTGCCAGTAATTTTGACCTTTGCCAAAAAGCATAGTTAAATTATATTACTCATACGCAATAAAACAAGTAAATTTAAGATCAAAACTGAGAGAAATGTATTTTATTCTTTAAAATATTTTAAAAGAATACATGAAAATGTAACTTCCTATAGATATTGCTATATATAACTTTCTTATATGAATTGCGGCTTAGTTTTCAGGCGCACTGTGATGAAGACTTAAAAAGCCCAATTGATTTTTCAATTGACTCCTGCTCAAAAAATAAGCAACAAAGGCAAAATACGGAATAAAACAAAAACTGTATAATACATATACGTAAAACTGATCCAAGATGCTGGTGCGCCCCTATTAGACCACACAACAAAAAATAAAGCAAAGCCATACAAAAACATGTCTTACGAACATTACATCACGAAAGACCAAATGGGTTGGGAGAAATGGCAATGATCACGCTAATAAGAGGTACGATACCCTCTAGCTGAAATGCATGCTTGACGACGGCGAGGCAAGCTGGCAGTAGTGTCAGTGATCGCTTGTTTGGCAGTAGCGCCCATTCCTGTAGTAATGCATGTCGGAGCTTATGGAGGGTGTTTAGCGGAACATTGTGACCATTCTTTTATCCATCGTCCAAACATGTCTCATACCTGCTCTAGCAAGCCACGGCAGATGTGGAATGGTTTCACTCCCCAGATAACTCCGCTTCATTCAAGCTCTATGCGGGCGGGCGTAATCGTCCAGAAGTATCGCGTCGATACCCACTGGAGCGATAAAAGGACAAACAAGAGGATGTAGAATTTCGTCGCGATATCGGACGGCTCTGACGGAAACAGCAGAAATCACGTACAGATCGATGCGAACGTTCACTGCCATCCCAGTCAACATAAGTAAGCCATCTACACTATAATAGTCTCTTTTAATGATGTTTGGTACCCGATAGTATGTCCTTGGCTCTCGTCATATCATTGTCCTTCAGGAATCGTTCTGGATGTTAAATCCGGACTCATCTATTAAAAAAAGGTGGCCCCCAGTGCTCTGGTGTCCAAATGCGGTGTTCACGGGCTCCGACATGCGAGGGGACAAAGATATACAAACTACAAGTCGTCGGGCATGATGGCTTCATGAAGTCGAAGCGCCACAGTTTGGCGGGATGCAGCAGAGAGATGCGACGAGAGCTTTTGTGCTATTAAGTGATCTCGGTCGTCTTGCACATTTCAACTGGAAGCGATCGTCTGACGTTGTGGTAAGTCCGGCGTCCAGACCCAAGTCTTTTACAGGGGTTTTCATCCCTTTGGTAACGATTCCACAACCTTTTGTTGACGCATTCAGCTCTTTCGCAACAGCGAATTGTCTTGTGCCAGCTTGCAACATCCCGACAGCCCTTTAACGCATTTCATCCGTGCAAAAGGTGTCTTTGTCTCATGCTTTCCGCTTTCGCTATCTGGGATTACATGGAACTATTGCTTGCGAACTAACTCATGACATTACGATGTAGAATTAGCTCTCTCGCAACAGCGGACTGTCTTGCACTAGCTTGCAACATCCCAACTATCCTCCAACGCATTTCATCGTGCAAATGGTGTCTTCGGCTCAATGCATCCCGCTTTGGCTACCTCTGACTACACAGAACTAAACAGACGCATAGGTCTGGCATGCCTCTTTTTAAGACACTGTGGTGTGACTGTAGGATAGCGATTTATGCTAATTTTGGCAGCTTATTTGCATTTGGCAGCTCTACCTCATATGTGAATTGTATGTTTAATTCCCCCTTTTTAACAATTATACATTTTTTTTAGCGTCTGCTGCTACTTTTTTTTAGCACAAGTGTATATTTAACTGAAAACTCCTGGCTTCGCTAAACAGTGTTGTAGGTTTTTAACGGTTATTATCGCAAAATTATATTCAAATTCACCTGCTAATTAGAAGACTATGCTTGGTGGCCTCCACAGAATTTAACAAAATGTAGATGCCACTCTGTCAGACTAACACGTATATTATCCTAAAAATGCGCTTAGTATATCTTTCTCTGTTTAGATTTCTGCCGTACCGATGAGCCCGGGTTTGAATCCCGGAAAAGGCATGGATGTTTGTACACATATAGTATCCGTACGACACAGGGATACTCAAAATACACGGCGCTCCGAAAGTACTCTCAAGAGGTTGATGGTAGGGGAAGAATGAGTGGGAGATCCTCAGACCGCCCGCTCGGGATGTTCTTCCTCAAGCTTAATAGTTAACTAGGTTCAGTAATACCGCAAGTACTTGTGCTACCAAAGAGGTGTTGGCTTAGCTTCTACTTGTACCTGTTTAGAATTCCTTATTTTTTAGTGTAGAAAATATTGTTACGAAAAGTACAGGCGCGGTAAGATGGCTTACCCAGGAAACAGTTTTAGGGTTGCCATAAAATGGCAAGGGAAGGCAGAGTTGCTACATTTGGCGAGAAATCACTCATTTTGAGACATTTGGCGAGAAAATAGGCGATATACCATGGACGGTTGGA